CTGACCAATTTGCATCAATTCACTAAGGGAGGCAAATAAATGAAATATGGAGGATAGAAACATTTAAGGGCAATGCAGACTAAACTGATAAGAGATGGCCTGAGATAGTAAACATTGTGCGCATGTAGATTGGGGAAAAGTTATCAACCGGGAATGGGCTACCTAAAATCCTAAGCAAGAGTACTCCTTGCTCCTGTAGTTGAATAGATTAAGTCGTGAAATAGTCTGTTTTTTCTCACCACGGGATAGAAGTACCCAATGATGAACCAGTTCAATTACCTCTCGTAGTGCTTATCAAGTTTTGCTTTATAGAGGAACTCTTTCGAAGTGTCACGACGAAGAAAACAATGGAAAGGAAAAGGGATTATTTCATTGCCGTCGTACTCCTCTGAAAGCTATGAACATCCCAGTGTTATAATAAATAAACTGAGTAACAGTAACATATTATGTGATGCTACTGCTAAATTGAGGAATAAGAGTGTGAGACAAAAATGTTTTTGACGAGACCATGTCAGTGCAGTCAAGTAGGAATACATTGCAGCGATAGCTTGCAAACTATAATGGATCTTTATAGCTTTCTAACGGTATATAACCATTTCAGTGACGACAGTATGTTCGATGATACGAAATACCCTACAGGCTTTTAGTCTGTTTTGAGAGCTAAGCTCCTTTAAGGACCCCGGCATTGTAGTGCAATGGGATAATTTTGCGTTGTGTAAGGGCTTCTAAAGCAATGAACTTGAACAATGATGGGGAAAAAATGTGCATTGAGGCATAGTTTCCCCCTGTATTTTGTTTTCAGAGATATGCAATAGGGTTTTAAGTGATGCATTTTAATAGGATGAACTGGATTGCTGTGCATTGCACGCAGTGCAGTGGTACAATACTTTCTGATGTAAAGTAATTTGAAGTAGGGTGGGAAATGTAAGTTTTGGATAGTACAGCATAGTGGAAAACATGTATAGTTTACTGCAGAGTAATGGTAGTATGGTGCTCTTCAATAGATTATCCAACAGAACATCTGGATGTACTGCATTTTATTGGATCTAGTACAAGTAGCGATGCAGTTGAGCAAAATGCAATGCAATGTAGTTTATCTCTTGCAGCGCTGTACTTGAATACTGTGTATTGCAATATAAAGGTGAGCGCAAAATTGCAGTGCACTTTTTATCAAAGCAACTTAGTGCTACATGGTGAATGTTACTGTAGTGCATAGAGTGGTGCAGTAGATTTTGATAAACTTGCAATAAGCAGTACATTACAGTATAGTTGTGGTGCATAAATGTTCTATCATTTTGCAGTTTAGTATGATGTGTAATGCGTTATCCAGTGAGGCTCAGTGCAGTGCAGTGCAACACACGTGCCTTGACAAAATTGCCATTCTTTGCTCTGCTTTTTTGTGCATATCATGCAATATGATAACGTAAAACTGCAGCACTGTTCAGTGTGGTTATATGTAGTTATGTACTACACAACCGTGCATGCAGTGCTAATGGGAACGTAAACAACAGCCACTAAATTTCAACTACAAAAGCATTCTGATCCAACAGTAAATAAAATTATTATTATCAACATGCAAATAATTAGGACTGCACAATGTGCAATTCAAGTGAGGAAGGCATACAGGCTAAATAGATTATTAGTAGCATAGGATTTTAGTCTCACGCTGAAAAACATGATTCCAATTGCTTGAAAGGATCAGTCCCCATCGTAAGATCACATATGTTTTGTAAACCAGTTAAAGAAAGCCAACCAAAGGCAAATGACAAGCCAAACAAACAAGCAGCAGAGATACAAAGCAAGTAAACACATAGTTGTAAGGACAAAGGGAAGACATAAGGGTAATCAAACATATGAGCCAAAAATTAATAAAAACGTGACAAACGTTTGTATACAGAAATTAAAACACAGCTGTAGCGATGAATGCAAATATCATTAGATGGTATAAAAAGGGGTGAGTATGAAAGAAGGAATTGAAGGTAAGAGCTAATGGAAGGATACCCTGATAACAATGAGTCGTCCAACTATTTATACACTAAAAGCCAAACAGATCGGAATACAGCATTTATGGAATCCTGATAAAGCTTATACTAAAGGTTAACATGGACACATATCGAAAGGGTATTTTTGTTTTCGGTGTGATCATAATGATGTAATGATGGCCATTATGCTATAGTCACAAACCTAATAGGCCAACGCAGGAATGATTCAAATCTGTGGGTATCGTCTGCATAGAAGGTTGCCGTATAAGTTTGATCGTTCATCTAACGACACAAAAGTACATCTCCTGATACATCTGTCGATTTACTCAATAAGATATCTACATTTTGCTTGAAAAAGTTATGTGTCAATCATGAGGAGTTATGCAACATCATGTTGTTTGGCACTTATAAAGGCAACTCCATGAGAGAGAATAGAAATAATTTACAAATGGTGAAGTATTAAACCGAGAAAACGTATTATTATCAGAGAAAAGACTGAGAGTTAGTAGGACTTCGTCTAGTGATGCATGGTGCCACATTATCAAGCGATAATTCAAATCTAAATAAAAAAATGCCCTGAGCATCAAATCTTCCATAGCGTATCTCGTTAAAGCAATATTTCTAACCTTAAGTTCATCTTCCATTATTTTGTCAAGGTTTTTTTACATTATAACTGCTGACCAATCATCACAGCTAAAGGAAATTGAGTTATTGTTTACTTACTTTCGCATCAAAGTATATCAAATTTGTTGAAGCAAGAGAATCGTCCTAGCTTAAAAAACGAAAAAGATATATGGAAGGTTTTGTTGGCAGTTAGGAAGAATCATTTACAGTTCGCCTTAAATTTCGTTTCAATCGAAGTTAGAATATTTTGACTGTTGTGAAGCAGTCATGCTCCACGAGATAAATTCTATACTGAAGATAAAATTATCTTTACACCAGTTAGCATAAATTAAATGAGCTTTAATTTGTACCCTTACTTGTTAAACAAACTAAGGAGCCAAAACAGTAGCTAAATGTGAACTCAGTTTACCTAATATTTCAGCGCGTATTCACTCAAGAGTACGTAAAATTTTCAAACTCTAGGAGGCTTAGTTACCTGAATACGTGAAATTGGTAACGTGGAACACCTGTTCCACAACAAAACACTCCACAGTGGCAAGTTACAGGCCTGGATATTGATGCGGACAGCTGAATGCATATCGTGGATATGAAGTATCTTTTCTCTCTATCCCTCTTTTTATTAGGTGTAAGTTTTTTTTCTATCTTTTTCTTTGTCATTTCGCCCCCTGATTCATTTCCTGCTCATTTAGTTACTAAGGACGTCAATGATGCGCCAAACAATATCTACCTGCCGTTGTTTACCTTGTGGGTCAAAAATTGGCCCGTTTACCTAACCTGCGTGGTGATGGGCGCTGAGGATCAGGAAATGCTTCTTATGTACGTTCGAAAATGTCGTCGTGGTAGGAAAACATTGCTGTTGCTACGAGTCACGTTTTATGCCATAACTAAATATTTTATTTGCGAGTGCAGCCATAATCCGTTAACAGGGAAGAGCCGAGATAACTGAGCCTCTTTACTTGATTGTAACAAATCTCAACTTTTTTCGTAAAGTTGTACGTGCCGCATCAAAGAGTTAAATGAACACTTCAGTGAACTCGGCCATTAAAGGTTAACAATTCAAGAACCATGAGTAGTTTTTAATGACATCGGATGTCTGCTACTTTTATTTTCATCCGGGTGTCGACGCAGCTTAACATAGAGAACCGACTGCGTGGGTTGTTTTGGTACGCCGGTTAATACCTCCTGGGGAACACTAATACCCAACCAGATTTCACGCCCAGAAAGGTAGGAAGAGTGTTGTAATTTTCATTATATGACGGAAATTTCCTCTCAGTTATATAACTTTTCTTGTTTCCTACCTGCATTTTGATTTTTTTTCACGTGTTCACGTCTTCACGTGTGCCTGATTCACCCTTCGTGCAGCGGCCCACTCGTTCTTTTAATAGCTTTCACATTGTACTCTGCACCATTCAATACTCACTGTAGATTCCTTTCGTAGTTGAAAAGCCACAACTATAGAACCCATTGTGGAGTCTATTATCTCGTGACAGGAATTGTAAGGAAGTCGTCACTAAACTTTGAATACTCATTTTACAGGTGTTGTAAAACTTCTTATAAAATTATTTTATTTACGGATTTAAACTACGGCTATTTCTATGTCAGTGACTGGAGCTTAAATGTTCGAAGGTGAAGGGAAAGTAAATTTGAAGTTAGCGTGCGTAAACCAAATTTTGTTTAGAACGAAACCGGGTAAAGGGGAACTGGGACCCAGATGAGCTCTAGAATGTAAACACCGTCTAGTTAGTCATTGAACCGCCGGCAACGACTGCAGTAATCACCACTGATCTAATTCAGGCTTTCCAGCCAAAATTTTTTTAGTTGTTTTTTTGTCGCTTTTACAATAAACCTTTTCCTTCCTCCGGGTTAAAGGAAATGATAATCCCATCAATGTTGCGTCATGGTAAATTAAACGGGCCCCCTTTGTTAACTTGAGCCCACGCAACCAACACATGTCAATGTCTTATTGTTGGCAAACTTGAATCCTTTTTCGACAAATTTTCGTTTATCTTTTTTTTTTTAATTTTTTTCAAGGCGTTAATTGGGATAAATGGGTGTGAAGTTAGCGCGATTTAACAAATTTTTCCTGTATTACACTTGTATTTCTTCGTGATATTTATCTGAGACTGTTCATATCTTGCCAGAGAAGATAAAAGGACAAACGGTATTCTAAACAAGAAAATTGTAGGGAGATTTGATGTTATTTTACGTATGTACCTAAATCATGGTAATGTTGTCTTCAAGAGCACGTTTGCATGTTCCTTGGAGATCGTCGTCAGCTTTCAATGACGATGAAGACGTTTCACAATCAATTCCTCTTGAATAGTTGTACTGATGGGCCATGAAAGGTCCAAAAGAAAAATTACAGCTTTTCCTTAGAATTTTCTTTCAGTGCAGGTTTGCATGAACAAGTCTGAACAGTTACAAAAGGGTGCTTATTAATTAGTAGTTGGACAACCCTACCTTAAGACGAAGTATGGATGCATTTCAGCAAGCTGCAAACCTTGAATATAACCATATTTATTTCATGTCATACTACAAAGCACCTTACTAGCGGGAACCAGCCCTTTTCTCTCCTCTTAAGCTTCCATGTGCGTAATTCGGCTTTTTGACTTTGAAAGTTTAAAGTTTCGAGTCTAAATGATTTATAAAAGTCACCACGGGTCTTGCGACAGAATGGAGGACTAGTAGCTAACTACGAAAATATCTGAAATATCTCGACAAGGTTCACGTTTTCCTTCGTCTTGATACTTGACTAAGGCGTAACATTGACTGTTAAAGAGTTTTTATCAAAATAGTGATGTCGGTGACTATCGACTCGTCGAATTCCTCTGTTTATGCTAATACTGAACTCTATATGTACAATTACTCACCCCATAATTCTTAGTTCGTTAAATAAGGCTGCTTCATGGTCCGTGGAGCAGGCTGTAGAACAAAGTCGCAGCCATAATGTCCTCTAAATACATATAATTCAACAAACACAGTATAAATTATCTATTGCATATTATAATTAAAAAAAACCTAAGTCAAATGTTGACGTTTCTCATCTGAGGTCCATTAAGTCAATTTAAAGCCTCCTACATTAGTGGATGTATTTTCTTTATGTGAGAAGAACGATGATCTGAACGACTAAAGGACCTGCCACACAAGGGACATACGTAAGGTTTTTCGCCAGTGTGTCTTCGGTAGTGGCGCTTTAGTTCGTCCGATCTGCGGAAACACCACCCACAATCCTCCCACGGACAAAGGAAGGGCTTCTCGCCGGTATGAATTCTTCTGTGTGTTCCAAGATGCGAGCTCTTTGTGTAACGTTTTTTACAACCGGGGAAATCGCAGTGAAAGGCATGGCTTAATTCCAGTTCTCTTTCAGAGCATGTGGGAAAGGATTGGTGTGTGTCGAAGCTAAAGGCATCAGACTCCGCACATGATACAGTCGTCGTAGTTGATGGGTTTTGAACAGTAGCTTGTGGCCACTCTAGCTTCAGATCGCAAGAAGGCGCTGGCACTGTTTGTAGGCCATTACACACATTGGCCATTGGCTCTGGAAAGCGACAGTCTCTTTTCATTCCTTCTTCGAACTTTGGTTGATGGACGTTTACATGTGGCTGCAATTCTGAAGGTGTGTCTTGAGAGGTGGAACACAGGTAACTATCCATTTCTTTAAGTGTCTGGCAGAAAGAAAAGCCGTTTAAATATGATTACACAGCTGCCACGCTTTATCAGTTGAACTTCGCCAGACGGTCAATTAAAGATAGACTCTTACATAACATCGAACTCACGTACAAGGTCGCAGCAATACCGCTATCTTCGGTCAAGCAAGGGACAGGAATTTTGGTACTTTAGTATAATAAACATAGAGCTCAGTTTAAGTGTACAGTGGGACCCCTGTAGGCTGTGACAATTGCTCCTCTAATTGCCGAGTTCGTGCGCACGGCCCACGGGCTCTCGTAAGTTTTTATCAGCTTGGGGAAAGATTCGAATCATCGTACAGTTGAGATTAATGGCTGCAAAAAAATCCGTCATTTGAGGCTTTCAATCTGTCCTGAATGTACTCTGAAACTACAGGATTTGATTCACAGGATATACTTCCTTTCACAATTTAGGAGCCATTTACAAGCATGACTAAAACGTGGAAGTCAGTAATGAACAATGTCGGACGAACTTAATTCCGCCGTGAATGCTCTTTTCTTGAATTAAAGTTCATTTAAAACAGGCGTCTATTGAATAAAGAGCGACACTGGCTCGTTATTCAATCAGCACAACTAACAATACTATAGAAATCGTTTATGAAAGATCGCAACTGACCTGTTGTAGTTCATCCTCTGTGTTTGGAATGAGTAGCGAATAAATCCCCGCCGTCAACGGATTTCCCTCGGCTTGGTAGGAGTTCGGGTAGGTGATACTCTCCGTCACTCGCACCAAATCGTCGAAATTCGCATAAGCCATAGGGATACGCATTAAGCCTCTCTTCTTTGTATACCAGCAGTTCAAACTATAAAAGGATATAAGTTCAGCAAACTCCAGAGACTGTTTCGCGGTGAAAATGAATTATGTCGTCTCTTCTTGATCGCGTGTAAATATTTGAGATGTAGACGTGGGTTTGCGTGGATCCGTACGGCTTAAGAGTCAGCTGCCGATTCTGCGCTAATCTAGTCCGAGTTTTCTTATGCAAAGTCGGATGCTCCGTTATTCAATTCTAAAATAAACTTTCCCCCAGGCTACATTGAAGAGAAGTCACGCTGCACAGATCACGATCAACTTATCAACGATGCGTATCGTAACTCAAATGAGAGTGGTTCTTGGCCCGCATATGCCTTATAGTTACTTTGAGTTGGAAACAGTTATCAATTCTGTGTAAAGAATATAATGGGGATTCATTTAGAGTAGGAAGATAATCGACTGATACAAAGAAGACTCTCGAATTATTAACGACTCGCTTCAGCAGTCGTTTTGTAACATCGAATATTCCAGAAGGTCATGTAAACTTCGAAACACCTTCGCTGCCTCCGATTGGTTCCGAAAATAGAACGATGTTCTATCTTCGGAGTCCGATTACAATAGAGAACTTTCGCGAACCGCTCGCTTGATCTCGGAAAAAAGGTTATTGCGAAACAGTGTCACGAACGTGCTGATCGGCAGTGTGAAGTCTTTAATAGAAAACAGTATAAATAAAAGAAACAGTTCTATTTTTATTCGATAGAAACGTTTCGAGGTCTATCGGTGTTTTCGATGTCCTAATTACATTGTTCCAAAATCCAGCACGCATTGAACTTTTATCCGCTCAGGGAAATGTGAAAATCGAAATTTTGCCTCGAAGGTAGGTGAAAGTCTTGTTAAATGAAGCAAAACGTATATACACAATATGCATAATGTGATAGGAAACATCACATTTTTACAGCAACAGGATAAGGAATATGCCGTATTGGTTTATATCAAAATTTATGACCAAAATATAGTTTCCTTGTGCAATGATGATCGTAGCAACCTGAAAGGTCAGTGTTCTAGTCGAGTGGTTTCGTGTTTGCAATACACACATACACACAACTCTTTTACGTTAGCGGTTTGGATAGCGTGACTTCAACTTCCGATGTATCTTTTAATATTTATTGGCTTCAGGAAAGTTAGCGACCCGAATCAGTGTGTTCACTGAAGAGTCCGTCGGCCCACCTAATTTATAAACTGTTGAGACGCTGTTTTGAAATCGAACGCTGAACCCACACATTGAAATAAGTGGTCAAAATTGGCGTTTATGTTGCTTTGTTGAGCGTTAAATAATAATGAGCCGACGGCAGCCGTGACGCTAAAGAGACCATGCTCCTAAATTTTGCCGGTTGGATACCTAACACCAGTTTTTAAAGATTTCATTATAAAACATCCATCCTTGAATAAAATTCAATGTAGTGCAGGTGAAATTAGAAAAACTAATAACAAAAAAAACCTTTCGCTTGAATCGAGAATTATGCATGGTGGCCTCTGAAACTGCTTTGTGCCCTATAGTATTGCTAAGACTACTTTGTAGTTGCTAGACCTTCTAGAAATCATCTGAAACTCTGTGAGTATTGTGAAATGTGGACATTCATGGTTCGAAGCCTCAGAAATCGATTTTTTTAAAACAGCTGATAATGGCCTTTTTTAGCGACGTCCTCATACATTTCGCGACTCGCTGTCAGTTCAGCCTAGCTTTAATTACCGTCTTTATTAGAAATCAAGCACATCTTAAAAGCTACGCTAAAAACTGACGTCATGTTAAAGGCTGATAGTTTCTCAAGAAACTGTTTGGGGCTGCGTCGGTGGGGGTAACGAAATAATAACGTCATGTTAGTTTTCTTTTCTTTTTTCCGCTATTATGTCCGCTATATTTGGCAAACTGTAACAAAAGGAGGCAAACAAATTAATTGCAGATCGTTCCACGTATCTCGACCCGTTGTGGTGGATTTCTAACAAACGTATTTGGCAGTCGCTAATATTTTAATCGCATTCATCTTACTCTAAATTTTTGACGTATTTTTTCGAGGACTGAATAGTTATTCGTTTTCCATAATTGAATGAACGTTTCTTGAAGTATTTCACATAGTACTCGATGATAGCACAGCATGTCATATCACTATTCAACCAAGTAGCCCCAAAACATGAGGAAATTGAAATCAGAGTGACTGTTGTCAGGAGTGCAAGTTATGCTGCACACTGAGTTTGTTTCTGTAAGAGCAAGTAGTTTCGTGCTCTTTGAGAAGCCTAGTTTTTAAAAAGCCTTCCTATCTTTGTTTCCAGGTATTAATATGGCTCTTGTCTACAAGAACTGAGTGTTTGAATCGTTTGCGCGTTAATCCTTTGTTTTGTAAACAAGTCCAATCACTCGTGCAATGTGCAGAAATATTACTTTTCCCAAGACTTTAAAAATGTTGCTTACACGCGAGGAAAGAATTAAAAAACTTGAATTACATTTGAACACTGGTTATTGATCAGTATCCACGATGTTGACAGAATTCTGAGTGGGTTTTAACAGGATCGAACCATGTTTTATTTTGTTCTTTATAGGCTTCTTTTGGAAGGAATGTTTTTGTTCAGTAAATCCTGGCTAAGAGTTAACTAAGTAAGACAATAAATGGTCGATCTATACTTCCTTTACACTGAGCTTAGAAGATTTACTTAAATATTGCCTCTTGGAAACTGAGATTAGCCGAAGTGCGGCGGACTGCTTCAGTTGAAGGCGTAAGATTGAAAGATTGTCAAAGCAAGTTTCAACTTATGATGGGTAAAATGAAATTATCTGTACGCTTCAGGTAGAATATTGCGAAATAATTCTTGGCAACCCACCACCTTAGCCGTCTTTCAATGTATGATATTTGTACAATAAGTTTTGATTTGTGTACCTTAGCAATATTACGCTATGTCTATGTTAGCTAACACATTACTTCATACCGTGTTCGGATTTCATTTGTATTTTGGTCTTACACTCCAGGTGAACTAGCTACAATTGTCCATCATTGTTGGTGAGAGTACGGTTATTAAATTTTGAAGCAATAAGCAGTTGATATGGATCCACTGAGTATTGTTGATGGCGATTGAGTTTTTCAAAACTTTGAATTTGAGTTCTTAATCGTATTTTGTGTTGCTGTGAAGCTCTGATTACATGTCAACTATTCCTTTACTGTTCCTCCGTTAAACAAAGCTTATCACTGCATTCTCTGGGAATGTAAACATATGCTTGGAGAATATGAAAAGCATTCAATTAATGATACTAAACAAGAAAATGAAATGTTCACTTCATGAAAGAAGATTAATCAGCATATGGAGATGGCTACCTAAACAGTGTGCAGAAAAAGATACTGTTCTTTAACAAACTGTGTATAGGAGCGCAAGTAAGGCACTTCTAACACAGACATTTAACTCATTATTGAGGTGTTCTGTAACAAACTGTGTATAGGAGCAGCAGTTTCGAAACATCAGTAATTGATAAGATATATTAGAATCAACAACCACATGTTTTCAAGTTATGGTTTATCTCAATACAACGATCTTGAATGGTTTTGTTGGTTTTAGGGATTGTAAATTTCCTTTGATTTTCCTTTCAAGGCATAGGATTGGTTTTGCTGTGTTTTGTTGTTTTGAGAATTTGAAAAAAACGTTTCCTCGGTTTCTTTGTATGAGGCATGCAAATCCATTCTTGCAGGGCAGTAGCATACATTCCACCACTGTAAAGAACTAATAATTTCTCTTGCCTGTTGCGATCAGGTTTTTTAGTTATATTTAAGAGTATGTTACTTCAAACTTTATTGTCACTTTAAATCTTTGAGCTTTAGCTGTATAGCTTGTATCTTTGACATTTCTGGGTAGAGGCAATAAAGCCACTGTGTGTATTGTTCTGGAGAAAATAGCACTGCAACCACACAAGCGATCGATGAAAGCGCTAGTTTTCTATCGAGACAATGATTCCTCGCCATTCAGAAAATGGACAATTTATGAAAATACGCGATATGAGTCTCAGATCTTTTCATTTGATTGTGCAGATTGTGAAATTGCTGTAAATTATTCTGTCATATTAATCATCTTGATTTGGTTGACTTTGCCCAATATTTTCAGGAAAAGGAATGTTAATTAATGTTCTGTTTTAAAAGCTTTTGAAATCATTGTGACATGTTAAGACAAAAACTGCATACTGATTGTTTTGTTTGAGTGTAGAGCATGAATGATTAAGGTGTCAAATAGTAGGACCTCAAACAATCATATCGCGTAAAACTTAAGATAGTGTCTTTCAAACTTCTGATAGTGTTGTTACACCTTCATTATGTAACCGCCTCCCGGTTAGCTCAATGGATAGACCGCTGGACTGTTGTGCGGGAGGTCGAGGGTTCGAGCCCCGGCCGGACCAACACTCAGGGTCTTAAAATAATTGAGAAGAATTTGCTGCCTTTCTATAACATCAAGAAATGGTTAGATATTCTAGTCTTCTCGGATAGGGACGAATAAATGGAGGTCCCGTCTCCTGCAGGGTTGGGGTAGGAGACGTTAATTTCCCACACACGAGATTACTGTGTGATGGATGTCCTCCCCTGGGGTGGGATGGGTGGGAGGGTGGACTAGCACGAATGGTTCCTATGTTCCTTTCTAGTCCTTCCCCACTGCAAAAC